CCCAATGCATCACTCATTTACCGTATACCGACTATACCAACTATAGTTTGTAAAATTCCAAGTTAAATCTTTTCTCTGAATACTGTCGAGCACGAAATTAATATTTAATATTTTATGTATTATTTTAGAGTGCATTGGTTAGGTACATTTTAAGCTATTCGAGATTATTTAAAATTTAAAATTTCTTTACTTAATTTTCGATAGATATTCAATAATCAGCAGAGCGACTTTCCCAGCTTTATAAAATAATTTGATGTTTGATGTACGACGGCGTCACTTTAATTTGCGGTTCGACCACAAGCAGACGGAATAGTGATATTTATATCTTACTCAAATTTATATAAATTAGAAATAAAAATTGTTGAATTTTGCGGGACATAGGAACTCCCGTGTACTGTACTACTGTAGTACGTACGACTAGTGTGTAGAACACTATTTATATCTATTTAATTGTATAAATATGTTATTATTCTGCGACTTGGATATGCCGTCGTCGTTTGTGCTATAAGCGTATTTTTTTGTGTTGAGCTCTCGGGAACAAAAAATATGCCCCTACTTTACCCGGGTAGCAAATTGTCTGTGGCAATAAATTTTAATTTTGAGACTAAAAAGTAAAATATGTAAGCCCCAAAAGAATAGGTAATCAAACTTACGTATACATCGACTCTTCGGGTAATATATAGCTGAAAGGCCATATCTTGAGTGCAGACGCCATATCGAGGAACTTCTTTCTTCATCTAAACCCGGACTGAAAAAATCAAGATTTTTTATAAAAATTACTTGAGTAAAATGAGATATGTGAGCAAATGTTTATTGTTGCCTTACACATTTCTCTTTTGTTCAACGAAATTATTAGAAATTGTGAATCGTCTCCGACGAGTGACGACGATCGGCTTTTGCCATAGATGATAGATATTATAATATAATATGTTGTTATCAGTTTTCGAGTTTTTGAATTTTTTAGATGACCCGATACATTTTTTATTTCAGATTCCGAAACTTAATATTATTCGGAGTGTTTAAATCTATACAATTCAGAACACGGAACTCTGCGTATAGGTCATTTAGCTACACTACTGTCGCGAGTTCATTTTTTTGTCCGGCATCTCACTATATTGTTTTTAGTCTTAACGGTTAAACTATAACTTAATATAAAACTCTAGAAGTGTCGAGACATGAAAAAATTCAAAATTAGGCTTTGAAATTTACAGAAGTAATAACAAAATGGATACTTTAATCGTGAATATAATATTCTCTCTGGGCTCGGCATTAATATGTCATCAAACAATATTATTCTATAATAGTGTGCAGTATTTGCTAAAAAATTGTGTGATTATATTATACTACTACACTATAGTGTAATAAATAATGTAATATATAATATACAACCGTGTAGGTACCTAACTAAGGCTCTCACATAAAGGTAAGTGACGGGGGAAAAAACCTTATGACCAAGGTTCGGGACTTATAGGATTTGCATACTTTTTTTATTTATTGTAAAATGTAGCAGAGTGCGAAATAAATTCATACCAAATCCAAAATCTGAATGTGCATATTTTGCATAGTTCATACATTTTACCGGAAATCGCTTATTTTTACGTTATTGTGCTTAATTTGCATATTTTGGAAAAATTTTCGAAATTTCAACTTCACAAATTTCACCCGATCTAAAAAAGAAAATAGTAATGCAGCTTACTCGCAGTCTTATGTACCTATTTGCTATATACAACTCACAACTCCTTATAATTTTCGTGGTTTGAAAGTGTGCCATCCGCCGTTGAAAAACGACTGTGTTTCAACTGTGCTACGTCAAAAACTATACCATGTCCAATAATAATTTAAAAATCATTCAGCAATCTCAATGATATGGAGTTTAGTTTGAAAGAATACAGTGAAGTAAAAAACTAAATGCACAGAACTAAACTGTTTGGGATTTTTAAATGTAACGAGAATTCTAGGAAATCATTTATTTATTGAAACAGATTAAATTACTGAATATCAAGAGTACTCATTGGCTGACTTGCAGTGTAGTCTGGCAATTCAAAATAATATATTATTTAATTAATTGTTTTAAATAATTTTTAGATAAATATTATCCGTAGCAGTTTTTTATGGACATGATCATTATATAGCGTATGTAAGCCGTGTAAATATATGGGAAGTGCACAAAGATTTGGCAAAAAAAATTAAAAGTACCACTAGTTCAACAAAAATAAAACCACATGTAATTTTATATGTGAAAGAGTAAAAAAAAAGAGATGTACATTGGTACAAAAGTCAACTATAGAAATAAGAGATGCGTTTGTTACAAGATAAATAAAAGTAATAAGAATCAATGATTAATTAAATCAATTTTATTTTTTTCAATTTTCCTTTTTCCAATAATTCTATTATAGTGACAATGACTCCAGGATCCGGCACCAAAATGAGAAAAAGTCCGCAAAGGATTGAAACAGTGGTGGCGAAAAATATTTTTGATGTATCGACCCGACGTTTTATAATAAATGACGAGAACCGTGAACCACGATTTCTAACTTTAGTAATTAAAAATTAATAAAGTAAATTTAAAATGAATAAAATTTGAAGATCTGAAAAACATAATCTATTTATTAGCAAAACAAAATAAAAATTGTTATTAATTAGTGTGAGCTCTTATTTGATGACCATGAGCTTATAATATTCAATAACCCATGTTATGTTCCTACAAATAAAGTGTAAAAAGAATTATTAAATACATTTAAAAAAATTAATTATTAATTTATGTTTATTGTAATATTACCATATATTAAGACTATGAGGGTAAGAAACAATTATTCTATATTAAACTTATATTAAATAGACAATAGTAGCCCGATATATTCTGTAAAATACTTCTGTAAGCAGTATATTTCAATAATTGTGTATTACATACTATAATTTTAAATTATACTATAAACTATTCCTATGTATAAACACCAATGATTGGTATGATTTTTGTACTGGAAATTATTAATAAATTAGCGGCATTTGCAAAATATTAGCAGCATATTTCAATTCGTAGCTCAAAAGGGGGCGTAGCGTGAAGTTGCCCCCCCCCCCATCTTATATTTTTCATACTGTGTGGGTAATTTATTTGCAAATTATTTGCAAAATGATAACATAACTTTCAAAAAAATTGGTCATGTTGTTGGGGCCAACTTCACGCACATGGGCGGCGCCATGGGTCAACACATAGAGAAGAAGACTTTATTAAAATTTCAAATTAGTTCAATACAATTTGGAATTTTCCTAATTGTACAGGAGCAATTGATGGTAAACACATTGCTATTCAATGTCCACCATGTGCTGGTTCCGAGTATTTTATTTATAAAGGGTTTCACTCAATTGTGCTTCAAGTTCAAGCAGTGGTTGATGCTCACGCAAAATTTATAACAATTGATGTCGGGGATTATGGCTGGTGTAGTGACAGTGGAATATTTAAAGAATCTATTTTTTTTAAATGTTACTACACAATGAATTTCATTTCCACCACCAAGAAAATTTCATAATGACATCAATGAAGAATATCCTTTTGTGTTTGTTGGGGATGAAGCATACCCATTAATCATTATTACCATGCCTGATAAGACCTTTTCCGCGTTGGAACTTAATAAACGAAAAACGTATTTTGAACTATCGACAGTCGCGGGCAAGACGAATAGTAGAATGCGAATTCGGAATTATGGTTAAGAAATTTAAAGTGTTGGAAAACAAAATTGTGGTTGGCCCAGAAAAAGCTACCCAAATCGTAAAAGCTATTTATGTATTACATAACTTAATTATGATGAGAGAGCAACATTGTATTGATATTCAAGAATTTATAAATTCTCAAGAACAGAATGAAATATTTGAAGAAGATATCAGTAGAATTAGATCTTCTAATAATAGATCTTCCGCAGCAGCAATATCACTTCGAAATAAATTTACAGAATATTTTAATTTAAATAAAGGTTCTGTATCGTGGCCAAATAAATACACTGTATAATAAAATTATTAAATAATAAAGAATTGATAAATTAATAACTATTTTAAGTACCTACTTTATTATTATATTATTATTACTATCGTGATTTATGTAGAGTAGAAAATAAAAAAATATAATAAATGTAATAATAACATAATATTATAATAAAAATATAAAGACCTGGTATTTTTAGAATATCCGATATTTCTGTCCATAATTGTTACTGTATGTTTCTGTTGCTATAATTTTTGTTTTTGTAATCATAAAGAGACTGACGTTCTTGGACTAATGATATTAAATTTTCGATGTTCATTTCATGCTCAATCGACATTTTATAATCCTATTGAATAAAATAATCTGCAATCATAGATATTAAAGAATTCTGCAATGCAATGTGACACTTATCATTTTTTGAATTTCCACTGCTCGAAAAACTTTATGTGGAAATCCTAGATTAAAGTAAGTAAAATAATGCTTCAAATAAGTTTTTTAAGTTGCTTAAACATATTTTGAACTATTATATTATAGTTAAAATATTTAGTTTGTACAAATTTTATAGATATTTATATTTTTTTCACAAATTATTACTTAAAAATAAAAACAAAAAACAAAATAAATGTTTTCAATGCCAAATTACGTATTTCAGTACTTGTAGATATAGTGTATAATGTATAATATATAATAAATAATAATATATAATGTATAATTACCTTTATATTGTAGACAATTTAGTATAAATAAATAATATTTGGCATAATTTTGATATAATCTGCTTTACCAGTGTGCGGTCACCCTTAGTCAAAAAACTTAAAAATGTTATTAATAACATTGGTCATTGACACTTAATATTATTGCCCCTTCATTAATAGTATATTCATAATCTACCTCTCCCAATTCCCGGATTTATTAACTAAAGGCTATATTTAATATTTATTGTTGATTATTGATAATCTGAACTTTGAACTATTGTTTGTCTGAATCATCGCCTTTATTATGGGTAATTTATATTGTTGTTGTCTTTAATCTTTATATGTAGCTATTTGTGTTTTGTCGTAGCTATTACCTAACGTTTTCGTGTCGTCTCCGTTTCTTCTTATTCTTGAACGATGCGTCGGTGCATAAGCTGCAAAAGCCTAAAATTATTATCTAATTTGTTTTTTTTAGTACCTATTCATACTTATTTATTATCGTATGTCGGATAGAAATCAAAAATGTCTATCAGCACATTTCTGAGCAAGTTCGTATTCCAGTTTTTCAATCTATTTTGTTTTGTGAGTATCTTAAGGTTTATTCTTAGAAATTGGCTATAATATATTGCCATAATAGTATAGTATTATATTATAAATATTATAATATAGCGATTTACGAACATTTTAGCAATGCGGTCTGCACTCTGCAGAGTACAGCCATGCAATGATTTTATATTACAATACATTAATACATATTTGTGATGGACAAACGTAAATTACGCCCGGTATTTTTCAGGAACAAATTTCTATGTAGTAAATTTGAGCCCAATAGAATTATTTAGTCAATTATATAGTCATTTAGCATAAGCCAGAGGACGGACACCACGAGGAGCCGAATATCACTGTCCTCGCCCTCCAAAAATGATTTTTTGGTTTGCTTGAAATAAATAAATTAGTTAATAATAATGGAAAAATTAATTTTTAATAAAATAATGTGGGATTAATAAGTTGTTTTAAATATTCTTTGTTACATTAATTTATGCAGTAAATAATAACAAAAAGCAAGGTAATTATATAATATAGAGTTATTAGTAATATAATTATGAGTTATATATTAGTATAAGAATGAGACATTATCTGCACAAATTCAGCTCTCGTCACTGTGTTTCCATTGTATTATTGAATAATTATGGTTCACTAGTTTCAATAGTTTGCTGTTAGTTTTAATATTAGAGTGAATCGACCTATTATCAAAGTTGTATGTAAGAGCATTATCTATGCATAAAGCATAAGAGTCGGCTGATTTTTAGATATTTTGATTTTCAAGCGAGATATGTGCCTTTGTGATTTGTATTATTTCACATACTCTTATCTTGCTTGAAAATGAAAATATCGAAAATCCGCTGACCCTTAAGCATACATAATGTTTTTACTTAAAAGTTTGATAATACTTAAAGTCACTCTACTATCAAAACTAACGGTACCTACACTATTAAAACTAGTAAACAAAAATTTGCTATGTCGTAAGTTGGTAAGACGGAACAACAAACGCGTGGGTAGCATCCTCTTAAGCGATACACGTTGGGCTTATTCGCAACAATAAATGAATAACAGTATTTAAAAATTTTTTAATAGATGTCGAGGGTAATTCGAGATCAGTTAGATACTATGGGTGCAAGTTATTAAACCTATTTTAGAAACCAAAAAATCCCGGGCTCAATTTACTATAGTATTTTTACTGCCTGCTCAATATGGGTGCAATTTATAAGCGCCCTTTGTGTTTAACCTTTCTTATAGCTACATAATATAATAAGTATAATTATACCATATTTTTCATAATTATTCATGTTATTATTAATACTATGGGCCTTGTTTCACGTTCCTGGAATGCAGATATCAGGCGTCGGTATTTTGTGGATCGCGTACTTTATTGACAGAAAGCTGTACAAATGGTCAGAGTTTGTTGATTCGGAACTGACCTCATTGCCTCAAGTACTGACGGCTGTCGGTCTCACATTACTAGTCATTGCCGTCGTCTGTGTGTACGCTACTCTCAAGAACATCAAATATCGATTAATTCTGGTAGGTATTTCTGTAATCTATCCTGTAACCTAAACACTAAAATACCTACACAGCTGCTGGACTAATTTTGTTATGATAATTGGCAACAAAAAATAAATTAATAAAATGCAAAATTAATTTTTAATTACTATTAAACTAACTTGTCATGGAATTAATTAGTCACACTTTAATAATTTTAGTAAAATATTTTCAAATAAGTTAATTTATTATAAATTAATGAAGACAATCAGTGGCAGCTCTTGCCTATATGTAGTATGTAGGGGATACCGGGGTAAATTAACGCACATCAAATAAAAAATATGAAATGTATGTTGACCAGAACGCAACACAGTATTCATCAATAATATTGTATTTAAACCCATCATTACATAAAACCTAAATTGTGTAATTTAATATCCATTTGCCACCATATTTTATCAATATAATAAGTTATTTTGTTCAAAGTAATTTTTCAATTGATTAAATATAGTTTATTTTCTGGTACCTACAATATTACTTGGACGTATCACAAATTAAAAAAAGTTACCAAAATTAAGACAATGGTAGGTATACATACATAAATTATATAATAATTGTGTGAATTAAAAATAATAACCCAGGTTTTTTCAATTATAATAACATTATTTTGTATGTAACTACTATCACTCATTAAATATACTATTATAGTATTATAATAGTATTCATAATCAATTATATTATTAATGGTGGAACTATAGATAAATAATTGATTGCATAAACATTTGAATGTGTTTTCAGTGTTTTCACTTCATAATAATACCACTTACAAAATGTGATCTCATTTTATAATGTAAACAAAATAGGTAGGCAACATTATAATAGTTAGGATGAATAGTCTCACAGGATTTTGAAATATCTAGAATCAACATAGTAAGGTCCAATATTAAATTAGTGTTGATCCACAGTATTGACAAAATGTATATTTAAATACATTTCAAATGATAATTTCACCATGTTAATATTTTGTATTGTCACATACGACTTACTCGTGAGTCGTGGTGAGGCCCGGATTAAGCACTGACCTAGGAGCCCGGGCTCCAGACCCTAAAGTATTGAAAACCATCGATTCGGCTAAATTCCATATTGGTCGTAAGTTTGCAGGTTGCTGGTAATCCTAACAAGAAATATTACAAAACTATTTTATTCAATGATCATACACAATACTGTTAAGAGATCTGTGGAGTCTCAAGTGTATATTTCCGTAAATCGTAATAGACCTATTAGGTATACTATAAACTTTACAGAGTCTATACTCTATTAATATATAGATCATGTGCCCAGGCTTTAAAAATTATGCAGTTCAAAAATATTAAGAAATATTAGTGTACTATTTGTTTACTGCCTCTCATCAACGAGCAACAGCAAATTTACCTTCAGCAGAACCACAGAACCAACCTTCTGTTGTTAGCTTTAGTTTTAGAGTGAATTGATTTATTATCAAACTTAAATGGGAGCTATATTTCTATAGGTATGTACTATGTAAAATGTCCCATTAAAAATGCATGAGTTCCAGCCAAAATAAAAAGCAAATTTATGTAAATATTTTTAAAGTTAAATTTCTTATTTTAATTCTAGGTATTTAAATTATAGGTCTCGAGGTTTCTGAGTTTTGTCAAAAGGTTGGTAAAGAAGTCATTACTTAATTTATAATATTATAATCTATTATATATACTATACAGTACAATAAAATTAAGGTGATTAAACAGTAAACGAGAGGGTATAAAATATGTATGAACAAACATGAAGATACTTAGATACCATATAGTGGCTAGTAGCCAAGCCAGTAGCTGTATAAGTGACAAGTGCATACATTATACAAATTACACAATAATATGTATTAACTTTTAAATGCTTTAGGCATAGTGTTTATAATTGCCGGTGTGTCATTTTGTGCATAACAATGTAATATATTATTATTATTATTATTATTATTATAGGTATCTTTACTGCTCGCAATCCTCTTAGTCGGAGAATTTCTGTTGGGTGGTGTTGTTTACCATATGCGTAGTGACATGGAACAATATGCACTGAAACGAATGGAGTACACAATCAGCGAGTACAATAAAACCGGACATGAAGCCACTAGACAGTCCTGGAATGTATTACAATCTAATGTACGTTTAATGACTTAACAATGATAATACATTTTAATAAGTAAAATTAAGGTTTATTTGAATATACTTAGAACAATAATATGAATGAAATGTTCTTATGGACTAAAAATGCATGAAACATACGTAGCATAAATATTAAATATTAATAAAACTACTCACTAAAGCTTTTACTAGTCCGTTCCTCCCCAATAATCGTATTCCACCGAAAAAGAGGATATTAATATTTATTAAGTACCTATATTTTAAAATTACTGTGGTAAACTAATTAACGATTTGAATTTTATTTTGTCTTGATGATTTTTAAAAATAATGTTTGTAAGAAAAAATCAACGAATAAGTATGCTAAAAATGTATTATATTTCTAAAAAAATAACTAGAATATATATTTTTAAAACATTGAAATATATGATAAATATTGTCCAACACTTTTTATTACATATATGTGTATGCTTTATATGTATTAAGAAACTAAAGAATTGCATAAATATTAATTATTGATTGACAAATGAAACATCGCATTAACTATTGCCAAAGGCTCAAAACTAAGGCCACCCTCGGGGGACCTTGGATTTAGATGATATGCGTTATGTGAACACTTAACTATTTAAATCATGGACACTCCTCCCCCTGAGAAAAATGTTAACGTGCAGCTTTGGATGAAATTACATATATTCACTAAACACATGATATTAGAAATTACACAATAAGGTGATCTGTATAAAGACTATCTACTGATATTATTGTTCACTGCATTTAGTTCGTATTCCATATAATATAATAATTATCATTCAGATCGAATGTTGCGGAATTGAAGGACCGAAAGATTGGAAGCTGGTTTCGCTCAGCGGTGGACTGCCTGCGTCTTGTTGTTACGCCGTTCAAATAGATCAATCTTGCACGGAAATCAATTCGTACACAATCGGCTGCTTTCAAAAGTTCAAGACCAATCTTCAGCAAAATAGCCGAATAATATTTTGGTTTGCTGTAGGATTTGCTTTGGTTCAGGTATGTATAGGAATAATATTGAATAATATATATTATACTGACATTATAGAACTATCCACAATTGTTAGATCAGTAGTAACTAGTAACATCAGGGGAGCCTAGCCCCACCCCAAGATAGTATTTCTAAAAAATTGTATATTTATAAAAACATAATAACCAAAAAAAAAATGTATTACACTATCGAAAGTTGTTCGAAAATTATAACATATAGCCCTCTCCACCAACCAAGTTTCTGGAACCGTCTCTGCAGGACCATATTATATTACTGATCGCACTAGTGCATTTTTACATTTCTTCAAAATAAATAATATTTTGTACCTGAGTAGTGAGTACCTATGTAGGATTTCGTTGTGACTCACGAAAACTGCAGATCAATATCATAATTTATTATTTACAAATTTTTGATTTCAGATATTTGCCGTATTTTTAGCATTTTATTTCAAGTGTTCTGTTGTCCATGAAGAGTATGAGAAAATATAATGATAGTTATTGGTACCAACTACCAATATAATATATATATTATATATAATTTAAGTTTGTAAAATATTGAAACAATTTACCTATCGTACATATTTGTACCTATTTATTTTTCGCACTATAGTCTCATTTAGTAATAGGCAATAAGCTATACAATGCATAGGTATAATATTATCTTTTATAATTGTATACTTGTATTTTTAAATAAATAAACCTACAATCACGTCTTGTAAAATTGTATAATTTTTCGATTTGTACGTTTATAATCACATTTGTATAATTTAGTATTTACAGATGTTTTAATCGTATTCTTTATCTTCCTTGAGGAATTGTGAGTGTGTAGGTATATAATATGAATAATTGCATGCGCATTAATATCTAAGTGCGAATAAACAATTATTGATTAATCATTATTTATTACTGACTTGTTCAGTATTATTTTTCAGAGATAGTAATATACAGTTTGAATTTTAAAAGAGGCCTTATAGGAGTTATGTATTAAACAAATATGTAAATTATGGCTGGCAGGGAGTTACATATTTTTATGAATTAGTAAACACTTTTAAAGATTGAAGAGTATACCTATAAATATTAAGTAGGCACAAGACATGGTGCGCTTTGTATATAACAATTGATCATGTCATAAATTAGTATAACTACTAATTGGCTCCAATTGGCCTGTGTAAATGTATAAAACGTAAGTAATAACTTTTTATATAAGTAATATAGTCATCTTAGTCATCAAAACATACAAAATGTATTAAACATAAAAATTATTTCATAAATAATATAACAATGTACACATAATAGTAGGTATTGTATTGCACATGGCACATCAAAAGTAGTTCATAAATACTAAATATTATTAAAGTCATTTTTATTAAATATTAATTATAAAAAAGCCTATAACTTAAAATATTATTATTAAAAATGTAACAAACTTTGAACTATAGTGTATTACTGTCCCTCCCCCTATATAGTTCAATAATTTCTGTAAAAATGAATGTATGAAAACGTAATGGAAGAAATGCCACATTTGGACCAAAATTGAAGCTTAACTTATTGTATCTTCATAACAAGTTATCTTAGAAAGCTGAATTTAGTGCCAAAAGTTTGGTCTTTAAATATATAAACTAATATTAAAATATCACATTTAAACTCACATGTCTTATTTTATATGGCTACTTCGTGTTATATAGGTACCTTTATGTATCACCAAGTGATGCATAACGTAAAAAACTAATATTTAAAGCGTAAAATATTTCTCTTTATAACTTTAAATCATCAATAAAAAACGTTTTTCTAAAAAAAAATTTATTTTTACTATTATTAATTACAACGTACATTTTTAACTCATTATTTTCAAGTAAAATATTTTTTTGGGTAGGTACTCCGATGTGTAAAAGTTGAACCTTGGACAATTGATTTATGCGTTATATTATGTATTACAAGTTAAGATGAGCAGAGTGGAGTAGTGTAGCCGCGTAGGAGTACATGCAAATTAATCTTGATTATATTTATTTATACACATACATTAGTGCAATAGTGCATGATCTAAATTCTAAAGTACGAACTCTACGAACTACAAGTACGAACTTTTCTTACTCATTTAGTTACCGATATATCTATCTAAATAAATAAATATCATATACATGCCAAACGATTCACCAGATATGAGATAATAACTGATAACGTGAGTCGTTGGAGTCATCAGCTGTGGGAGCGGGAGTGTGGAACAATGGTATCATACTGTCATAGTAGTTCCCACTTTTTGTCTTGTATTATGTTGAAAGGTGCTTTTGGTCTATCGATCAGTCTGCTAACTGCTTAGTTTCGAGTTGATCGGTGTGCGCACTCTCCGGTTGTGACTACTCGTCGTCTTTGTTATATCACCGTGGTCACGATTCACGACAATATTCGCATACAAGCGGTAATCGTTAATAATAACTAATATATCATATTGTCATTTGCTCGCCACTCGCCAGTCGTTGCTTCGTATCTATTGACGTTACCGCCAAAATTATGTCCATCTGCACGTTTTTGGGCAAGTACATTTTGTACTTGTTCAACCTGTTGTGTCTTGTAAGTATATTGATACAATCATGATGATTGTGAGAATATTGGTTGGGAAATGTACGATTATTCACTTTTTTCTCATATGAGACACGGACACACGGTATTATGTGACACTTGTATTAATGATGTATTCCACGCTAATTGCAGATCTCCAGCGTTGGCATTCTGTCGATTGCGTTCATTATCAATCACAAACTATACAAATGGTCGAATTTCATAAGTACTGAACTCATCACCACACCTCAAATACTTTTGGCCATTGGTATTGGATTGTTAATTATCTCCATAATCGGTCTATGTGGTGTGCTCAGAGACATTGGATGGCTTTTGACACTGGTATGCTTATTCTTCAAACTGTATTCCTTAATATATTATTTTCTGCTTTAAAATAACTTGCGTTACAACTCTTATAGTTTTCCGTACTGCTTACAATCGTCTTGATTGGAGAACTTATTTTATCTGGTTTCGTGTATTACAATGGCAGTGAAATCAAGGGGTATGCGTTAAATCAGATGAACCATACAATTTCTGGATACAATAAAACTGGTTATGAAGCCTCCACGCAAACTTGGAATTTGATACAGTCTGATGTAAATAATAGCTATCTATATTACCTATTAAACTCTGTGTAATATCACCCAGCCTAATCAAAATTGAATCGTCTAATTCTCGTTTTTAGATTGAATGTTGTGGAATTTATGGACCAAAAGATTGGGAACCAGTTACACATAGCAATAAACTGCCTACATCTTGTTGTTATGCCATACCGTTAGACGGATTTTGCACAGATATTGAATCATACAAAGACGGTTGCTTCAAAAAGTTTGAAAACATTCTAGAGGAAAATAGTGAAATAATAATATGGACAGCAATTGGATTTGCTTTAATTCAGGTATGTTAAAACAGAATCATAATTTGATAAATTAAAATTAACTCATGCAAATTTTTTTGTTTTAGCTTTTTGCTGTATTTTTAGCATGTTGCCGCAAGTGTTCTTTACACAAAGAATATGAAACAGTTTAAAGATAATTATCATTTAAGTTTTTAGTTATTAATAGAGCTACATGAAGAATATGTACTATTAATATCAGTTTATATAATTTCTCCTAATATTTTTATTTCTTTCATTTATAAAGTATCATGTGTTTAGTTTATCTGATATAATACTAGATATTATATTTAATAATTATTAATGTTTACAATGATCTAGTGAGCTATGATTTTCAGTTGTCTTCTGTATTGATTTATTGTTTAATTTTAATACAATTTGTTCATCATACTTGTTAATTTAAAACTTAAACTATTGTCTATTATTAATTGCCATTGTGCTTTACATTAAGTAAACACTTGAAAACCCAATTATTCAGATATCAGAACATGTATGGTATATAAAATTGTAATCAATAATTTGAATTTAATAATTCAAATTGTAATATTGTATACAAATATACAGTATTAAGTATTCATGGAATGATATATTATTTCATATTATATTATTTGGTATAATTTTTACATTTTTGTTACAATAAAAAAAAAAAATTTAATAAATAGTTCACTTTCCCTTACTACTTATATTTATAAATTGTATTATGTTAAGTTATTATCCATTTTTATTGATATCTTATTCTCATAAAGTAATATATTTTACTTTTAGAATTTTTATAAAGACAGTTTTTTTCATATTATTTTAGATATTAAATATATTGATGAAAAATATTTATTTGTTTTATTACTTACTCTTATTTTTTTCCTATTACGTTTTAATAATATGTAATAATATTTATAGATTATTATAACAAATGTATGAAGTCAATAGCTTAATAATAATGCATTAGCATTACAATACCTTAAAAATATATATTTAACTCTTCTTAATTTGTTATCACGTCAAATCAATTATGTAACTTATTATTTTCTGTTATATTACCAATTAATTTAGGAGTACATCATTATTCTGTGAAATAAATTGTGGAAAGAAAGTATTATAGATTTGGTATAAAATATTCAAATAACTTCCTATATTTTTGTGAGTACTGGATATGTATATAATATCATATAATATGTAATATACATGTCTTGCGCAATACATTTTAAATTATCCTTTTTCTTTATAGGCATTAAAAGTAAATTGCTTTGAACGAACTTGATTGAATCGTGCAAGAATGCATTTCTTTCTATTCATGTTCATCCTCATTTGTTTCCATGATTCATTTTCAAGGAAATGTTTCGGACAGAATCTACTACACCTATTGAAAAGTGAAAACTAAGAAATATAAAATATATCAGTTGAAAATGTTGGAATTGTGATTATTATGCTATAATACCCTTTTTTTAATAATATAATGTTGTTAATAATATTAAAGTCATAACCACATATTTGTTTATTATTGCTTGCAATTGGTGTAAGAAAAAGTTACTTATTACTTACTAAGTAGGTAAAAAGTAAATACACCACAGGTAGATTTCCATTTCTGTTTCATTTACTCCTGGCCCCCAGGTAATACAGCCATTATAAAATGTATGAAATAGTTTTTTTCTAAATATAATTTTAATTATATAATCTATTTATATATTATAAAAAATGAATGTTTCTTTGTTTGATCTTTATAGATTCATAAACTATTTTTATTAATAATAATACAATTTATAGAGACACGTGACTTTGGATTTTAGTAATGAAAATCAAATTTTTTTTTTTTATTTATTTTAATAGTCACCACTCACCATACCCATTGGTTACAGATTATAGGGACAGAAATACAGAAGATATATCACGGATTATAACACCGATCTATTGATCTATAATATATAATTATCTACTAACTACCTGTGTATGTTCTGTGGTCTGTGAATTACAACCTTCGACCATATAATCTAAGTAGTTTATATGGTTAATACTAGTTTAAATGGTCGAAGATTACTACGAGTCTCATTTCAGTAATCAATATTTCAATTATTGAATTTGATAAGTGATGTAACTATAGAAGAAAAATGTGTAACTTATAATGTAGAAGAATGAAAATTGAAAACAAACATACAACCAAAAAAACATTTTTGTGGCGGTGGGGGAATTGTCTTTGTTGCCCACTCACCACACAAGTAAGCTACAGATTCCACTAAGATTGTTTGTTCCAACGCCCATGTTTCCATAAAAAATCTTCTAATTATTACTTGTTCCAAAAAATTTTATTCAATTTTATTTTTTCAAAAAAACATATTTTGTTCCAAAATATGTTGGAATAAATGTTTTGTATTATTGAGAAACTACAGTACCTATACAGCTGATATTGTCCTATTTGTTTTTTGTGACTTATACTTATGGGTCGTAACTTGTGGTAGGACATTTGACAAGGATAGTAAAATCAAAAGTAGGTAGGTTATAGGTATGAACTGTTTTTAAGTCTGGTTGAATCATTGGCATTAAACATAGTTTATATATCTTATATCAAAGGGTGAAATAGAATATAATTTATCTATTATACTATACAAATGTTCAATACAATTTGTTTTTGTTATCTTCAAGCAAATCATTATTCATCTTAATATTTGGTAAGTCACACAATTTAATTTTCAGAAAACACATTTAAACAATATAGTATATATTATTTATCTTTTAATAATTTATATACTATACAATTTGCTGATATTTTAATAGGTCTATGATATCGAGTCACTTAAATTCACGATTTTTCAAAACAATTTAATAGTCAATATTACAATACCTACTTAATTATTAACATTAAATATTTAAATTTAATTAACCCAAATAATTTATTATGATATTGCCGATGTAACGCTTAGTGACAAGGGCTAAATGCCTGAATGGTGGATGCCGTTGGTACTTTGATAGTAAGTAGTTGATTCTGATTTCTGGGCGCTGAGGCAGTGAGGCCTGAAGAGCAGCAGTGCTGTATTTTCGGTGTGGCACAACAACGAACGCACACGCCGTGCGCATGCTCGATTCAGTGATAACGATGACATGAAAAAAAAATAAGTATGCACGCACGCACACGGACCGGCAAATGAATCTGACAACTGTAATATTCGCCGGTACGCAGACACCATTTTTGGAACCACTATCGTTTTCGAAAACTCGATGCATGATTGTTATTTCGGTGTTTTCCTTTGTTCGCCCGTCGTGCCGCCACCGTTGTTGTGCATTTTTAACGCCGTGCACTCACGTCTCAAAGCCTTTTTGAGCGTTTAACGCGCTGCACCCGGGAAAAAAGGACCGCATTTCGTGCTATAGCCACACGTCGTCAATCCCGGTACGTTTCGTAGGTGTTTGCCTAAGCGCTGTTATTCTACGACGTGCAGTTTGCGTTTGCGAAGTCACCGCCACCGCATGCAAAGGCTCTTTTCCATCCGTCGCTCGCACGTCTCTTACGTCCGTCCATTATCAACTCCTAAACGCTGACGCCGCTTGCTGGCTGCTCCGACAGACAGCCGCCATTGTTAGTTGTACTCAATGTCTTAAGACTGAACAAATTTACATCATTCCCTCCCCGAGTTTAGAGGTTGGCCGTCGCAAGTATTTGAAGTATGCGACCGCTATAGCTATTGACCGTTGAAATTACCTATTTCATGTGCAACTTTTTCTTGTGTCTGCAGGTTGCCAGTGGCCACTAGCCCTTGTTGATAATGTCTACTACTCCTACCCCTCGTAGTCCTAACAATTCTGGCCGCAGAGGTGTGACTGCGACGTTACCTGCAGTTGCAGCCGTACAAGCGACTCCACCGTCCTCGCCGTCCATAGGTGGCGAAACCACCAAGGAAGTGAAACCGAATCCAAAGATGTCAAAATCTCTTAGCACTTCGACTAAGAGGTGAGTTTTTATTCTGTTCAAATTGTTTTACATTTATGCATCTGCCTCGGTGGTGTAACCTGTGCCCCCCCACTTGAATTGTACTTATTGAGTAGTTGTTTATGTAAATCGTTAAATTGTATTAATATAATAACATAATAATATTAAGGTACCAAAAAAATGAAGGTACAAAAAAAGAATATATTATCTAATATTATCTACATTAGGTATAGACTTTCCCTCAGAAAATCTGGCTGTGCTGTTACTGTTTTGTTGGACAAAATTTGCTCATTTTGCGTGCCTACCTTTCTGCTTTATAATTATTAATTAAAAAACACTAATATAGAATGTTTTAAAGTATTCTTTAGGTAGGTTGTTTATAATACATTTTTACCTACAGTTTTTAAAGTATTTTCCATTGTACGCCAATAATTGACAAACCAAACAATTCAAAAATATATTATTATTATTATTTGTGTAATACTTAGGTACTTATCAAATAATCGATAACACACATTTACCATGGATAAATATTAAGAAAATTTTAATTAAACCAAATAGTTGACTACTAAAACTGTACTTAAATAATTAGTGTTTAATACAAATAAAATTAATGTTTAATTTTTTTAATTTTACAAGTATAATTGTATAAAAGATTAGGGTTGACGTTACTACCTATTTATTTTCAGTTAATTCAAAATATTAATGCCCAAACATCAATCTCATCACATTTTTTCCTTATAGGTACCTATATCGTAAATAAATGCACTATCAGATGTTTTAATTGTTATTGTTGTTAGCTAATCTTCTAATTAGAATCATGTTATTAAAACCTTAATTCTAAAATACCCAGTTAAAAAGTAAAACAGTGAGAATAAGTATTTAAACATCAACTTCTGCAGACACATTGTGTTTCCTAGTATATAATTTGGCAATTTTATTTTTAAATGAATGTTCTATATTCTTTTAGTAACCTATAACCATGAGTAAGAAATTATCGAAGAAATGTATGTAGGCATAAGTATTAAATGTTTATAATTGGATATTATATTGCACAGATTTTCGCATGATGATGTTATACCTAGGTACTTTATTTTAGAATAATTAACTTTTTGATTATTATTGACGTGTACTGAATTACATCATTTTCGGTTTTTGTGTCTTACAGAAGGCTGGCTTACATTTATGGGAGTTTTGGGGTTGTAGTATTTATATAATATTAATTATTGTAACTACATTAATATTTATAGATTTTGAACATAATTAATGAAATATGTATGTCATAAAATAATACATCGTACCTATTCATATTTTCTAGGATTCAAAAAGAACTAGCTGAAATTACATTGGATCCTCCACCCAATTGCAGGTAAATTAATAAATGTTATGTTTTATTGATTCAAATGAATATTCTTAATGAAAAATAATTCTACTTTTGACTAATATAATTGAACCCTTCACATAGCAAAGCAGGAATATTTATACAAAATTAGTTTTGTTATTGCCCGGCAACTATGGCCATTAGCTATATTACTTTACTAATCACTAAAGAAATTTTTAGTTTTTATCAAATATTTATGTTATCATTTTTAAAAAATGTATTCTGGTCTTTTTGAGCTATATATAAGGTCCGTTTTGTATGAATATTGAAAAAAAATTTAACTGACAAAAAAAGAATAAAATGGTAATTAAAAAAAAATTGGGATTCCTAAGTAGTACTTATAGCAATTAGAAAATGTTGAACATACATTACACAATTTGTCAAAATCACGAGACTGATACATCATCTCTGCTCAGAACGTGGTTTGGATGTAATGATTAATTTACCACATTCGTTTGAAATCTGCTATGGGCCAGAATAACTCACCCATTTTTTATATATATATTGGATTTTTGATATTAATTGTACAAAATAGTATGGAATTAAATTTTTTTTTAATTAACACTTGTGCAGTAATCCATTTCAACTATTAAATTTAATAAAATACATTTTTCCACAGTTGTTTGTCACTATTAATATTGTTTAAAATTCTATGTTTTGATCATTAAAGCTTAGAATCAATTATAGAGGAAAAAAATTAATTTTCAAAAAGCAATTTAGACATAAAAAGTATATAACTGCAGATAAGCCATCCCTAATCTGTATTCATAATCTCTTGTCAGCTTTTTGAAAATTAAATATATTTGATTTATTTGTTCCTTTGTAAGGTTAATTTGAAAATATAAGAATTTCATTCATTTTTCAGTGCTGGACCAAAAGGAGATAATGTATTTGAATGGGTCAGCACAATTTTAGGTCCTCCAGGTTCTGTGTATGAAGGAGGAGTTTTCTTCTTAGACATTCATTTCACACCCGAGTATCCATTTAAGCCTCCTAAAGTATGTAATAAACAATTTATATTTTTCATCTAAGATAATGATATGAGAAACTAATTATAACTGTTATCAATCTTTAGGTAACATTCAGGACTCGCATATATCATTGTAATATTAACTCTCAGGGTGTCATTTGCTTGGATATACTTAAAGACAATTGGTCTCCTGCATTAACTATCTCTAAGGTGCTGTTATCAATTTGTTCCTTATTGACTGATTGTAATCCAGGTAAAGGCTTATAATATATTTTTACATTATTATTTATTATGTTTTAAATTAACAATGAATATAAAATGAATATTCTAAAAGACAAATAAAGTAATTTGAAAACAAAATTACATTTTTAAAATGGTTAGATACCTAATGTTAGTAGCAATATTTCTAAGGTCAATATTGACTGTCTTACTGTTTTAATTAATTGTTTAAAGAATAATTTAAGGTAACAAATATATTATATTAACACTCTAATCTAATTGCTTTAAGTAACTTGTGTTATATTTAATCCTTAATAATTAAAATAATTGTTTGTTTATGAATTACACTTTTAGCGGACCCTCTAGTCGGTAGTATTGCTACACAGTATCTACAAAACCGCGAAGAGCATGACAGAATTGCTAGGCTGTGGACCAAACGGTATGCTACATGATTGATTCTCAGAGAAACTTAAAAAAATATATATATAAATATACATGCATAAAATCCTAATTCCGTATTTTATTAATGGGTGTTAGCATGATAAAATTTTAATCATTATTATTTTATAGTTGGCATATTTAAGACCTGAATATGAGTCAGTTCCTACATTTTTCATTTTTCTTTATTTTTCTTGAAACAGTAATATTTTGAACATTGACAAGATTAAAAATGTTAAATTAATTTTATATATGACTTAACTGCGCAACATGTAAAGCCACAATCCATAGTAAAATCTAAAGTTAATAATTTTTTTTTTTTTTTTTAATTGTTTAATAGAAAATGTATGCTTTTTCATGATATATTCTATAAATTATGAATTTGTTTCAATATTGTAATACAATTTATTATTTACAATCAAGTTAAGGTTATATTTTTAAATTGTAATTTTTACTTTATTTTATGAATAACAACAATGCTACAAGTTGTGTACTATTTATACACAACTAAGTATTGAAAGTCTAGACTGCTAATTATATTTAAATAACAAAATTATGAACATTTTGTAAACGAATTTCATCTTTGTAAATGTATATTGATATAGTATACATATTTTTGTATGTAAAATATTATTGAACTAAATTAAAAATATTGATCAATTTGTTTTGTATAACTTAATTTGTATCTCAAATATATTTAATAACATTTAAAAAAAAAATCCATGGGTATTATAGTGAAAACATTTGTTTAAATTAATGATTTATAATATATCAAATATTAGGCAATACAAAATTATGTTTTCCATATTGAATTACCTGTTACTTTGTAACGTTTTATTGAATCCCCCTATTGACAACTTAACGTAAAATGTTAACATTACATTATAGCTTTCCCTTGTCTGTCATATTACCAATGTATAATTGTTAAAATGTATATTCAATATTTGTGAATGGTTTAGTAAAAGTTTTCAGTTAGACTACTTTCTATTTATGCATTTTTTTCTTTCTCAATGCAGAATAGTTATAATTCTGGGTTACAAAGGTGTTGCGCAGTAACGTTTTGTATATACATTGAAGTTTTATTTTGCACTACTTTAAACTGTTTTAGAGAAGAAAGTGAAAATAAAAAAAAAATGGGTGAGAATTTTTATCTTTTTTTTTTTTAAAAAAAAATGCTTTGAATACAAATTGAATGTATATTTTTTTAGCCAACTTATTGGAGTTCAAAGTCATCTTATTTAAGTTGATGTGTAATTTATCTCATTCTTGTTGGTCTGAATATGAGGATATTTTGAATTTACTATTTACCGTGTAATGTATTACACAATTTACAAAAATTTTAGCATATCTATATATTTATAAGTTATATATTATATATTAATAATTAAATTAATATTGTAATATTTAGAGTAAATAATGAATAAAAAACATTGTTGTGAAATATTAAATTGATTATTTTGTGTGTATTTATGTTGTGTACTCTGCTTGTCATTGTGCATAAAAAATAATTGATAAAGAATATATTTTAAATTTTATTTCAAGTTTGTGCTTATACAATATTAATTATCAAAGTATATATAAGTTGAACAGTAGTAACAACAAACTGTTGCATAGTCTTATTGTATGGTTACCAATATGTTGGTACAGATTAATTTTTCAAGCTAATTAATGTATAAAGTTGTTTTACAATATAGGTATTAAATTCGGAGTCTTCTTAAAATTAATGTGTTCTCAGAAACAATGTTACTCCAGCTAAAATCCATTTTTTTTGTTCATTAAATGGTATTGCCATTGGTAGCAATGATATTAAATTATCCCTGAATTGTGTCTCATATAATGCTATTGGTAAATCAGAATTTTTCGTGTACTTTGTATGTTCCTAAAAAAAGGAAAAAGTATAATTCTAACAACTAAACAAAAGCTTTAGTTTGTTATATTTAGTTGAATACGCATGGTGTAAAGACTAAAAATTGTTTGCACAAATATTTTTTAAATTTTATTTCTATGCTTTTTCACCAAACCTGTGGAATCCATGCAAGCTTGATATCGTCAATGATAGCTACAGATGGCGAATCAGCTGTATTTTCAACGAGTGTGTTGTGATTAAGTCTAGCACCTTCTATAATCAAGTTTGATATTGTTGTGTGGATTTTGGAACCTTTCAATCCATTAGTTGACAGAGAACAGTCGAGTATGAGACTATCCATTGGTATTTCATATTGTCTAAATCAAATTGAAGTTTTGTTAATAAAGTAAGGTACACAATTACACCAAAATATATAAGAAAGATGTACTATATATTTATATAATTATACATAATCAAAAGATTCCTGATTGACTGTCCGATCAAATATCTGTAGATACTTGACATTTATACCATATGTTTATTTTATCAATTCATATACTTGATAAATTTTTCAAAATATTTTGACTAGTTTTAAGTTTGACGGACATTTTCCATTTTTTTTTCTCATAAACGTTAATACAATTGTATTGGTTGGGTTAGAAAGCATGAAAATTTAATACAAGACTTGATTGATTGTTACAATAGCAGTTGAAAAGTATTAAAAATACATGTTCACGATTTTTTATTATAAGCATTTAATGTTCAAATTTTGACAATATTTATAACATTTTCAATTTTTATGGCTAAGGATTGAAAAACAAGGTTCCACTTCAGAAGTATTTTCCGTAACTGAAAAATCTAAGAAATTTAAATACAGTTATTTTGTACAGATATTTTAAGTTCAAATTCGGACAAGATTGCATATCAACACAAAGAATAATATTTATCATTTTGTTGTAATTCGGTTCCAAGCAGCCCTATTTTACATTAGTACATTAATATTTTTTCAGTATCACTGATAATTTAAGAATAATATTAATTCAACTTACCGGCTACCATATTAATAATAAGTAAAAACAATATAAAATGCCCTAGACTAACATACCGTCTCCGCTCAGAATCGTTTTTCGTATTCAATGATATGATATCATTGAATTCAAATGTAATGCCATTCATTACAGCGACGTCCTAGACACCTAATGTGCAGCGGAGCGACATCTACTTACTCTATTATTTTTTAAATGAACATTCTTATATGGTATTATAGTAGTATTATAGCGCCCATTGGGGGGGGGGAAAAAAAAGGAAAATAACCCCCCCCCCTGGAAAAAAATATTATGAAATTGTAGCTCAATAAATATTACCTTATTACCGAAATTTTTTATTTTGACCCCCCCTAAAATGTTACCTATGGGCGCCCATGATAGTACCTATCTGCTTACTTAGGTAAACATACCTTTACAATACATTGCACTTTATAGTACCTATAAATACTTAGTAGTTAGAAGTTGACTAGTTTGTACTATAATGTACCTACCAATGTTAAATGTACATACTTAGCTGTTTGTTGTTTTAGTGCGATCAGGAACGTTCTGGGGTGAAATAATTCATCAAGGTCGATTTTCTGCGACAATTTGTCAGCTGAAACGCTAATTTTTTTCACGCACATAGTTCTGGCCACGACGGTTCTGACATACGCTACCGGATCGTTAGGACCATTCCATTGGTCCATCCACATTTTGGGCGTCTAAAAAAATGATTTGATAGCATATATTACAATATAAATTATTACCATAATAATAATAATTATTATTATCTTTATTGAGAATCGCATAAGGTAGGTATTATAAGTTATAACTGGTGAGATTGACAAAGCACGGATCAAGTGTTATCTATTTTGTTTTTTTTGTTGAAGTTACCCAGTTAAAAAATAAATTGTCGTAAAATACTTTAAATTTTTATCAAATATCATTTTTCAAGCAACTATTTTGCATACTATGGTCTATGATACAATTTTTGTTTTTAAGTATACATTTTTTTTTTATAATAGTGTTTAAATTAAAATTTTTATTTACCTAAACCTAATTCACCCAAATCACAAAAATCAGTTGTACCTAGTTAAAAATTTACAAACATTTAAGGCTTGAAAATGTAATAATTTTAAATTATAAAGGTTAGATTAAGTAGAAAAAAGTACTTAAAAATTACCCGAAAATGTCCAAAAAACCAAACGTATGAGAAAATGTTTAAAAAATATTTTAAAATTTAACTCATTAGTATATGTTGGTACCTGGAATACCTAATATAAACTTTGCATTTAGGTATATTTTAGTTTAGTAAGCTTAAATTAATGCATTTGTCACAAATTCACAGTCCTATACTAATTACTCTTACACATACGTAAATAAATATTTGCCCTTTATATATTTTAAAAATATCTTTAGAAATAAAATGTGCTAATATAATAGTTATCATACTCGCACAGAATCGTTTTTCGTAGGTATGAGATAATTTATCATTGAATTAAAATTTAACATTATATTCATCATTAGAATGACCTACTCAATGACTATATACACTCGAAACCTGTAATGCAGCAGATAGACTAAAACAGACATTAAGATTATACTAAAAAACTAAAAAGTTTTAACAGGTGATCGATTTTTTAATAATTTACTCAATTATTTACCTATGTATACAAAAATACCCGGGCCGTAATTTACATACAACGTTTAAAATGCAACACAATTTACGGGGATATCCTGAGTGCGTCCTGTTTATAATTGTTGCCTTTTCCAAATATTTTTAAGGTGTAACTCTTATAAGTTTACCTATTCGTGGTGTACCATGAGTTACTAAATGAGTAAATGACAGTGTAAGAGTATAACCTAAGTAACCACGTCGACTGGCGGACGGTGGTTATACGATGTATCTAACTATCTGCCCATCCAGTGGCGAAAAGAACCAAAAATAACCCATAGTCACCTAAAATTGACCCACCACAATTTATAATAAACACAATTGTACTATGCTATTTGCCCACTGTAATTATTATTTAGTAATTGTTTTTCACTTTTATATTGAGCACCCACCCACTCACTCCTAAGTAAGTACCTACTACCAATTAAAAAAAAAATGAGAAGCTACTGTTTCTCCACGTCCGTTTCGCCACTGTGTCCACCCTTTAGATCTGATCCTTTGGGCAAGGCAATAATATATCATACTTGGAGTCTAATAAGATGTAACACTGTATCTGACACCGTGGTCGAGGGCCTCGTGTTGCTGCGAATCGTCTGGTTTACCGCGGCTAAGGTCTT